CTTCCTTCCTTCCTTCCTTTCTTTCTTTCTTTTTTTTTTTGGTTTTTCGAGACAGGGTTTCTCTGTGTAGCTTTGTGCCTTTCCTGGAACTTGCTTGGTAACCCAGGCTGGCCTCGAACTCACAGAGATCTGTCTGGTTCCGCCTCCTGAGTGCTGGGATTAAAGGTGTGTGCCACCACTGCCCGGCTGATTTTCTTTCTGGCCCTTGGGATTTGACTGGTGGAAGCTGCTGTACCCTAGGCTTCCAGTATGACAAAGACCAGGGATGATGGTGGAAGAGCGGTGGCAATCAAAAAAACAAAAGCCTGGACCAAGGAGGCCTTGGCTCTCATTCCTCCCTGGAGTACAGGGAGGTGGATATATTGTAAGAGGGGGTGGATATATTGTAAGAGATTCAGGAAGTCTGCTGTGAGACTGTATTTTCTAGACATGTCATGGAAACTGCACCCATGAAAGCTCAACAATGTGGCTCTCCGTAAAGACCTGAACAAGGACACCCATAGTTGTTCTCAACATGTATGGGAGAAATCTCCTAGGGCCCAACCCCTAGATGAAGAGCTACAAGCAGTTGATGACTGCTGAGAGATGGAAAATTAGACTTCCCCAGGGATGAGATGCCTTATTGGTTATTCAACACCAAGTGGTCAGCCCTAGAAACGTGCTAGCAACAGAACAAGAAATAAACACATGGATTTGATCTACAGAGGTAAAAGATGGGTGTCATGAAGCCTGTGTCCTCTTGGCTGTAGGGAAAAGGTGCTGGCTATAGAAACCCACCCTGACCCTAGAGCCCAAACTAGGGTAAGATGGCTCAAATAAGGCCAGTGAAAGAAGCACAGTTTGGCTCAGTCAGATCAGCACCATCTCTGCCCCAGCCAACTGACTTGTGAAACCAACTAGTCACAGAACAAGACAGTAGAACCCTGTCCCCAAATCAACCCCTGGTTGACTTCACCCCCAAGACATCCTATGTAAATTGTCCTGCCTGTTCATTTAAAAAAAAAAAGGTTGTTCTCTCCACCCTGGTAGAGACAGCTACTCTCCTGGACTCCTCCTTTCAAAATAAATCCCTTTCTCAAAAGAGTTTTGAGTGTGAAGATCTTCATTCACTGGCATAGAGAAGATCCTTGCTGTGACATCCCTTAGGGGACAAAACAAGGGAGAGCTGAAAGAGCAGAGCAAGGAGGAGCTGAACAGAAGATCTTTGCTGAGATGTCCCTCAGTGGACAGAGCAAGAGAGAGCTGAAAAAGTAAAACTTTTCTCTGGGGCCGGAGGAGATTACTACATTTTTGCAGGAGTTTCCCATTTTGCAGAGTGAAGCAAAAGAAGCAACATCTTAGGCTGGAGAAGCAGAGCTCTGCTAGGAAGCTCCTTTAAGTGGGAGCTGAGCAAAGCTCAGCTGTAGTGGCTCTTCAGGAGAGGAGCAGGACTGCTATATCCTGCCGAGAGACTGTCCCCCATCACACCAGATATACCTTGACTTTCCCAAACAGTCAGGATACCCTTCCCTGCTGAAGCAGTTCCAGACCTCACTCTCTCTAGAAGTCAGAAAAATTTCCCTTTCTGGGTTGGGCTGCTTCTTTGCAGTTCCAGCCATCAGAACTGTGCTGAATAGCTGCTCCATGTGTCCAGGACACCTTCAGGGCAGAGCTGTTGTTCTGAGCAGCTCAAGGTGTCCAGGATATCTCACCCTCCAGGGCTGAACTGTCTCTTTGCAGTTCCATCCATCAGAGCTGTCCTAATCAGCTCAAGGTGTTGCCTGACTCCCCAGGTAGTCAGGACACTTTTCCCCAGATTGTTGCAACAAATTAACTTATATTGTTGGTGCTGAAACCCGGGACCAAACCCACAGAGTTGCAACCAATTTACTTACATTGTCCTGACCTCCTTACCTAAAACCCCAGTCACCATCATTCTGTCTCTGCTGCAGAAGAGCAGGAGGCAGAGAAGGAGCAGCAGTAGTAAAGATTCTGGGACCTTGAGCTGTTATTTCTACACCAAGACGGGTGTGGGGCAGTTTCTAGGCTTCTCATATTCCACACCTTGGGAGTTTTAAGGGCTTTCCCCACCCTCATGTCAGTCCAATTCTGAATTCTTCAGTTTCAGGAAAGACCCCTGGGATTCACAGAATACATGTAAACACAGGACTTTTGTTGGCTTGCTTGTTTGTTTTGTGGGATTACTTGTGCAAAGAAACACTTTGGACACTGGAGGACTGTTTTTTTTTTGTTTTTTTTTTTTTTTTTTTTTTTTTTTTTTTTTGGTTTATTTGAAGGCAATACGAAGGCCTAGACTTGACTTTGCAGACTCCATCTTAGGGAAGAGCTACCATCTTAGACCACCTGGTGCCCAGGGGCTACACTCAGTTCTAGGAGGAACCTCAGGAATGCGCCATGACAATGAAACTTGAACTGATGCCCTAGAAGCAGCCAGTTAGTTTCAAATGTGTTTTCCCACATTTGTCTAGACCAATGTTTTCAAAAAAGTCACCCTGGCCCATATTCCTTCACCCAATCCCAAAATGCCATGGCACGTAATCCCTGGCTGGCAGTTTATCCCTTTAAAATCTCTCCTGCACCCGAGCCCACTGTGGGCGCTGCATTTCCCTTCACCCACCAGGTAGTCGTCCAGGTTTGAATCTGACAATGAAAAAACCCTTACGTGCTTACATCAGAGACTGGCTCCTTAG